GTACGCGACGGACACCTACAGAAAGAGAGACGGGGCACGCGGCGGTGTGTGTGTGCGAGCCGCGGAACGAACGTGTACGCGTCACAATCGTACCTCCGGGCCTCCTCCGTCCGCTCCGACGGGGATATCGCCGTAGCGTGAATCACGGTTATAAACAGTAAATGACTCCCCGTCGATGTGCCCGCACACGCACGCTGGCCACTTTCAGTCCTCGACGATCATCGCCGTCGCTCGCCTCGTTCGACAGTTTTTCCGTAGGGTAAACTTCGCAGACAGATTGGCTACGCCAATCGTGATGTTTCTTTTGATTTACAGGCCAGAACGGCCTGTTAACGTTGTCGCGACAAAGTATACTTCGAGATTTCTATCATCTGAATGAAATGAAGTTTGCAGTATGCAGTTTGAAAATATTCCCCAAATATATAAAGTTGCAAATTAAACGACGTTAATGCCGGACACGGGCAACAGAGAACAGAAACAGATTCGCATACATTTGCGGGATGCGTGTAAAGTTCTCTTCGTCATCAGAATAATAACAATAATAAATAGTTAATTAATTAAGACAGTCTCATATTTTCATGAAATAAAGCAGATTTTATGCAAATACCGTCCGATGTTGTTACTTTCCAGGCGGTATAATTATAACGAAATGTAAATCCCCCCGTTAATAACGCGGTCGTCGTGTAATTCCGTAGCTCGAAATAGCCGCGGCGTACGTTCGCGTAATTATTATAATTCGGCAATGAAAATTGCGCGTCGCTGAATAGCTTCCATTGACAAGCAGCAGCTGCGTCTATCGATTATTCGAGAACATTGCACGCTAAAATATAATTCTACAGAATTCCGCGGAGAAAAACTCGCGAAAATGACGATTTGAATCGTCGGAACTGCAATTCTACTTTATTTTTTATTTCTTCGCAAAATGCAAACATTTAAAACAAAATTGTTCGAATGGAAAACTTTTTATCGAACTCGGAGTTCTAAAAACTAGAAGATATGAGAAAAATTCGATAAGTTCCTGAGCGGTCAACTGAAATGCCGCTGCTAGTAGTACTGATCTATGGATAAGCCGACAATGACGATTTTTATTTTGGTTTACAGAAACGAATAAGAAAAGTATTATTTGTGAACAGAGAAAACAAATGATAAAATGAACGATAAGTTTTCGGTTAGCAGTGAAAATAATTCCTTTTGCGAAAAACTGAATTTAATTAAAAGAAAAAACTCGAACATTCGTTCATCTTTTGAGAAACGATACATCGAAGGTACACTATTTAAAAAGTCACGCAATTGTACTGATATAGCGTTTAAAGAGTAATGATATTGAGACAAAATAAATTGATTCACATTTAAGTATTTTTATCTACGAATTATCGGACCAATAATTTTTGAGATACCACAGGTTATTCCCGAGAGAGAAAAAATTCGATCTTTAGTGCGTTAATTCCACTGAAAAGGTGGCTCAACTAAAAGCGACAGATTGAACAGGCTTCTGACTCTAGTGTCCTGGTCTCGTCGTCACCGGGACAGCTCTCGCCGGCGCGGCGACACGCCGGCGTACGAGAGCGCGCGGTGTCCTCGTGAGAGCGCGCGTTACCGCAGAGGGTTTGTCCCGGAAGGGAACCGGTGGCACGTCGTTACCGGGGCAAACTACGTCGTCGACAAGCGCCGGTCGGTAAGTGCAGGAGGTCCGGTGCACGTCGGCCGCGTGCTCCCGGTGACCGTCCGTTCCCCCGCCGCCGCCGTCGTCGCCGCCGCCGCCGCCGGATGCCGCGATGCGGGGCACCGCTGACGGCGGCTGCGGCCGCTCCCGCCATGCTCGCGGCACGCAGGCGCGCTTCCGCCCTTTCTCTCGGGGGTGTCGATCACCCCGAAGCCCGGCCCTTATGACTCGGCGCGGGACCAACCGTCGCGCGACCCCGACGCTTTTCGGGGGCGGAGACCTCGCCCGCTGGCTTTTCGTCGCCGGGCCGTCCATCTGCCCCCGGGACGACGTCGTCTGTCTCGCGCGAGCCGGCAGTGTCGCTCGGAGCGGGTCGGCAAGATGATCGGCGCCCTTATCGGTGCGCAGTCCACGTACAAGAGCACGCTTGTGCAAACCGTTTCGGCGAGACGCGAGTAGCAATACGCGGCACCGTCCCCCCCGCCGCGCCGTTCGACGCTGAGACGACGTCGTTTTGCGTCGTTGCTGATATGACCACGTTTCTGGCCACGTCGCGCCTCGTGCCGCAACAGCCGATCCGAAGATCGACAACGGTGCCGCGATAAGAGCGGCGATTAGCCGCGTAGTAAAAAAATAAAATAAAAGAACACCCGTGAGGAAGTAGCTGGTGAGCGGCGCGGGTGGACCACGCCGCGCGATGCTGGACCTTAAGAGCAGCGGTACAACCGCGGCGGAGCTACCACGCACCACGGCGTTCACCAATCTGTCGATGCTGTTCGCCGGTACGTCCCGCTCTTGTGCCCGTTAATCGTTGTGCGCGCGCGAGTCTCTTAACAGCGTGCCATATGTTCGGGAGTGTGGTGATAAGTCGCGGTCCCACGCTCTCGGTAGGTGCCACGCTCGGTGGCGCACGTGTACACCTGCGAATTCTGTGCTCCGAATGTGTCCGTCGCGAGCTGCGCGTTTTTAACTCTGTGTCCGGGCTCGCGGTGCTTCTCAAAATTTCTTGCGCCAGATTTTAAATCTTTGCACTTGGAAGGAATGGGATCTTGCAGTTTACATTTTATCGCACCGTAAATATCTCATTTATATTTGTAGGAAAAAGTTGAATATACAAAGAATGCGAGCTTCTAACACAGAGCCAGGCACAGGATTGAAGGCGTCATAATGTACGACAATTTTCTCTGTGATTCGTGATCAATGATAAATTTCTATGAACTTTTATATTCTATTTGTGATAAATATGATCATTAAATCTGTACAGAAATGACTTATTTGCTTTGAAAATATTTTATCGAGAAATAGTTTTAAAATATTTCTATATAGTTCTTTGTGAAAATTGTTTCGTAGAAATGTTATTCAATTATTCTGTCTTTTTAAATAATTAAATATCTTTATCAATTATACAACTGTATTTATATAACTGTAGTATATAACTGTAATTATATAAATGTAGTTTGTCAAAGGCTTAATTAAGTCATTAAACGTTGCAAAAAATGATATGCGACGGTTGGCGCAATGTCGCAGAAGTGAATATCAGTGACCACGTGGCTCATGGAAGTGAAACACAATAGCAAACGTGTATTTAACGATAAAAGTGTACTTTTATATCACAAGTATATTTGTTTTACCATTATCATGCATAAAATCTGCACATCTTCAAATTCTTCAAAATACACAAGCAAATTTTCAAGTATTTTAATCTTTCAAGTATCTAAAATAACTTGAAATTAATGTTTATTAATTCGAGAGAACAAATTGTAGAATCAACTGACTGAAAAAATTAAGTTCGAAAAATTAGTTGAGCCCTCCACAATTGCTGTAACTTTTCGCTCCGAAGCGAAATGAATCAAAATTGCGGCTGCTAATATTCTATTTATTTGACACGTGTTCCACTGTCCGACGGTAGTGTACTTCCATTCAGATATGATGTCATGTAATGGGTTGTAACAATTGAAAATGACTTGCATTCATACATATTACTATTCATTAGCACTATCAATCGTGCCGTAGAAAATATTCCGTGTATACATGCGATGCCACAATCGCACCGCCAAAGTATTTGCTGTAGGTGGCTTTTAGCCGTATTTAACTGTTCGGCGGTCCGTTGAAATTCTCGCTGTTCAGGATTTCTAGATCGATCGTATTCTTCTCGAGAACGTGGGGATTTTCCGGCGTAGGTCGCGCGGCGTCGCTTCGACACAAAAACCCGAGGAAAAACCGGCAACGGCATCAGCAGAGCGATTGGTGCACCCCACAGCACTTGAGAAACATGAAATCCGAGGCTCCATTAATGGACTCCGGGGTCTCCAGATCAAATGAAGGGGGCAGTAAAGACGAAAGATCGAGCCGTGGTGAGCGCGCGCGCGTGTAGATCGTTCTGTTTGCCCGGAAAGTCGAAGTTTCTGCCGTGCGACGTGACGTACCTACGTATGTACACACGAGGGCCGACCCTCGTGCCAATAACTGCCAAATGAAAATATATCTGTTCGCAAACACGCCACCGACGGCGGCGCGTACGCTCGCCGCACGGCTCGTTCGTTTCGGCGCCCGGCAGCTCTCGAGAGAACTCTCGCGTGGCCTACGGCAAATATATAATATCACTGCCGCGAGATTTCTGTATTAGAAATAATTCCGCGTTTGGCAGAAACCGGCGTCTGTCTCACTCGGATATTATTCGGCCGACCAAGTCGGAAGATTGATGGTCGGAAACTTCCTCATCTCACTCGCAGTGCGGCATTAAAAATTATTAAGTTACACGGAAGACAAACAGCGGTTTCTCCAATTTTAACGTCCAATGCTTAGCAAGAAGAAGTCTTTCCCGTATTTGTCATGAAAAACGCAAACGGTTAGGATTTTAACGCAGCGGACGAAGTAACTGCAACTTTTTGAACGCGAAAAGCGCAGATACACTTATCGGTACACAGGTTGAGAGTAGCTTTCGAACAATAAATTTATTCACAGCGATATAAACGGGCTCTTTTGTGCATTGCGCTCCTGCAAGAACGACCATAGCCGTTAAAGTGCCATAAAGATTTCGCAAAGCAGAAGAATCGCGTTTTTCCCCCGCCGAAGCCGCCGCGATAGCAGCTTTCGCTCGTTTGATCAGATATACTTTACGGCTTCTCGCGATTCCTCGAACCGATTAACCGGTAATTGCCGACGATATATCGCTTATACTACCGACATGACCTCAAAAAGTGTAATTGCAATCGGCCAGATCACGAAGTACCGTCGCGCGGATCGATAAGTCGTAGATTTCGCAACGCTCGTTGTGGCAAGAATCGGAATTGTGGATTGAATAACAATTAAAAAATGGTTCTCTTTTTTTTTTCAGATGCTGGCAGCTCTTATAAAGGAGGCTGGAGCCACGCTACGTCGCCGGCACCTGGTCAGGGTGAGTCTCACATCAAATTTGCAGTCTACGAAGGTGTCAGAATACCAAGAGGAAGAATAAAGATTTTGCGTTTACTCACATCTTTCTTTAAAACTTTCACTATTATTTTATGTAAAAAATATGAAAAAGATAACGTAATTCAAATGTCAAGTTATTCGAAGAATATCCAACAAGAAATGTGATTTTATGTTGAATATGATGTGTCACCTCTTGGTATTTGCAATAGAAAATATCTTGATACTTCTAATATTGATTGCTTTTCCGCTTTTTATACGCTTTAAATAAATCAGACAGAGGCATTATTTTCTAAATGAATGCAGAAGAAAGCAAAAGCATCGTATGTTAATTAAAACCGACCTATTTGGCCGCAGAAAATTTCATATTTTAATGAGCTCACATTTGATGTGAGCAATCATCATCTAATGACAATGAACTCTTTCTGATCAATTTCTCGTCGAATAATCATGTCGAGCGCTCGACATAATTTTTTTTTTTTCAAATTCTGCGACTCGCGTCGCCGTGCGCGCCTTCCGTTCCTCTCGCAGAACTCCCTCCCGTGAGGGGGGAGGGGGGGAGTTTTCTTTCTTCTCGTTCTCGGTTCGCTAGACGCTACATATACCCAAAGGGTGGGTCGAGGCGCCGCTGGGTGCAAGTTCACGCGTCGCGACGCCCCGGCTTGTTCGAGCAAGCTTTGTGCGTGCAAACGCGTAGAGGATGCGAGCGTGTGGGCGTCGGTGCGGGTGTAGGTGGCGTCCCGGCGCTTTGTGGCGCGTTGAACCGCGGCCCCTTTGTCGTCGGCGGAGAACGAGCGTGAGGGTGGACGAGAGAGCGGGAGGGTGGCGGAGGGAAAGAGAGAGAGAGAGAGAGAGAACAAGCCCCGGGGGCTATGTAGAGACGCCTGCCCGCACAGTGGTAACGTCGAAGAGCAGGCCCCACCCTGTGTGGACGCCAACACCGACGCTGGCACAATCATCTCGCGGAGATCACAGAGCCCTGCCCGCGGGCATCTTTGTTATAAACGGCTCTTGGCTGCGCCAACCGGGCTACAGCAACCCGGTGCGAGACACAACTCGGGATCGCCTTCGTGGCGCGGCAAGGACGCGAGTCCTTCGCGCCTTCGAACGCGTGTGAACGCGTTGGCGCCGTTAGTTGTCCGTCCTTGCCTCCGCATCCAGATTGCATTCAGGATTCCTGCCCGTGTCACATCTTAGCACCGGGCGCTTACCAGCGTAATTTAATGCAATGTGCAACGTGCTTGTGACGAGCGTGCGGCAAACTGGAACTAGCTGGACGGCTTTACGCTGTAAATTTTCAGAGTTCTTAGTTTCGAAACTAAACTTAATTATATTGCCAGATCTGTGGAGAGAAATATTACCTCTTGTATATTGTGCATTAAATTAGCTCCAATTTGCCGGGGAATAAATCTTTTATCAATGGTGTTGAAACTAGAACGATACGAAATTTAGTCTTTTCGGTTTGAGGTTTCACGTTGTTCAGAAATTCGAATAAATTCGAAAAGACTGATTTTACAAAATGCTTTGAGTTATGCTAATTAATAGAATTCTATTAACTCACTTCTGTTTTGGAGAGGAAGAGCTTTGGGGGAGGGGGGGCCCTTTCGCGCTCGCGCCACTCTGTGGAAGTTTAATTTTCAGGTATTCCTCGGGACACGGTGCACGCACGAGTTGTTTTAGCGCGGCTCGGGCTCCGGGGCATTTTCGAATAGCGTGTACCAACACTGTCTTTCTGATCTTGACAGACGCGGGGTCGCCTTTGACTCGCTTCACGCTTTGCGCCGCGACGCGAAAGGGAGCGACATCGTCGTCACCGCCGAGGTTCATGAAATTACGTGACGTGACGCGTGTTGACCCGAGGGCACTTTGCGGTCTTCCAGGCCGTGTGAAATTGAAATTACAAGCTCGTCTCTTCGTACAGAGAGCTCGGCTCCACGCATCCAGGCAATACCGTGTGTATTTTCGTTTCGCTGGATGGATAGCGCAAAGGATAACTGGAAGATGTGGGGGGCGAGCTTGCGATATTTAAACGTCGTTTGGTGATAAATAAATCAATGCGAACATGCGTTGATTCCTGAGATGTTACTTCGACAATATCTCTCGCGTTTTTAAATTGATGCTAAGTTGAACAATTCAATTTAAACGATGCAATATTTTAATTAACCAAACTAACTTTAAGCGATTTGTTTTTCTGCACTTTGTACAACATACGCACGTTACAATGAGTTCTTCTCCTTAAACTATATTTATTTTCACGCTAATTGTATTTCAATTGCCGATATCAAAGATCGAAAGTTCAAGCCCGTAAATTCGATATGCAAGAGAAGCTTTACGAGAGAGTTAAAGCGCTCTCTAAATCACGCGTTTTAATGCAAATTATTTCCTCGCGATGTTCGAACGCCCGTAACGTCATGCAAGGACAACGATGAACTGACACCCGAGAATTAACACATTAGAGATATATCTGCGAAACGGTAATTCGAGTATGCCTATTAATGTTGCTCGCGTGTCCGATGGCCGAAAGTTGTTCCATGTTCCTGAAGCAGGTCATGCTCGTATAGCCTTCCCGTACCGAAATGCGCACCGAAGCGTTGTACAGCTCCACGCGATCCAATCTAAAGTCGAAATGATCAAAAAAAGCCTCCTCGCGTGAATCCTCCGATGGCGCCGTTACGGGCGTGATCTGCTCGAAATTTTCCTACATTTGGACAGATTTCAGATAATTCATATCTCGGACTCGAAATGCTGCCACACTTGCGTTATCCCGTGAAAGAGTATTAAGTATTTGCGTCGCGGATCAATTTAATCCAAGAAATTTTTCTCTCGTATTTTACTTCCGAAAAGAATAATGAGATTGATCCTATCGTACGGTCTTTCGTAATTAAATTCTTGCATGAATTTATAATATCGCTCGTGCGGGAAGAGAATAATCTGCACGATAAGCATTTAACAGTTTAACGTTACAAATCAGTTAAAGGAATTGTACAGATCGTAACGATATCTCTTTCGCGCATTCTTATTTAATAAAAAAAAAAAAAAAAAAA